GAATAACAGCAGGAATTATCGTGTTCTGCTCTGCAGGAGGAGGAAGGGAGGAGGGAACACCCCGGACCTGAGCAGGGAGGCGGCCGAGAGGAAGAAGAGAGGAGGAGGAGGAGGAGGATCAGCTCAGCTCCGGAAGGTGAAATCCCTGGCAAGTGTCATGGGGGGAAATCCAGCACTGTCAGCACCCCAGGGATGGCGGAGATCGGAGATTTTCCCTCAGGGAAAAATCTGGGAATGAGGAGGAGTCCAAAAATCTGGGAGTGAGGCGGACACCAAACCCACCTGGGCTGGTTGCTCTGTAAAAATGATTTACACCTAAATTATTTTCACTCTGAGGGAATCATCCCAGACATTACTGTGGGTGGAAACTGTCAGTGCAGAAAGTGACCCTGTCATTTATTTATAGTGACCCTATAAATGTAGTTATTTATTTACTGTGACCCTGTAAATTTATTAATTTCTTTACAGTGACCGTGTAAATTTATTTATTTACTGCATGGTGCGGAGGTTCAGGGACACCACACCATAAACAATATGATCCAGTGAAGCCAAATTTCTTATCCCTAAAATAATAATAACAATAATAATAACAATAATAACAATAACAATAATAGTTATTATTATTATTATTATTATTATTATTATTATTATTATTATTATTATTATTATTATTATTATTATTATTATTATTATTATTAATATAAATATTTTATAATAAATAATATTATATTTATTATTATATTTATAGTAAATCTCTACTGTCCACACCTCTCTAGCTAATACATGATTGGTTAATCCTGGCTGTTCACACCTCCACATTAGAATGCTGATTGGATCATCTCATTTTTCTTGCTGTGCTTGTCTGGCCCACCCATGGCTCACTTTTTTCTCACTTTCCCAAACCTTGCTGACAAACTTTCTGAGTTTTAAATTTATTTATTTATTTATTACTGTGGGGTGTGGAGGTTCAGGGACATCACACCATAACCAATATGATCCAGCGAAGTCAAATTTCTTATCCCTAAAAATATTATTATTATTACTATTACTATTACTATTACTATTACTATTATTATTATATGATAACTACAACAACAACAACAATAATAATAATAATAATAAATCTCTGCTGTCAATACATGATTGGTTAATCCTGCCTGTTCACACCTCTACATTAGAATGCTGATTGGATCATCTCATTTTTTCTGCTGTTGTCGTCTGGCCCACCCATTATTCACTTTTTTCTCACTTTCCCAAGCCTGCTGACAAACTTGCTGAGTTTTAAATTTATTTATTTACTGTGGGGTGTGGAGTTTCAGGGACATCAAACCATAACCAATATGATCCAGCGAAGTCAAATTTCTTATCCCTAAAAATATTATTATTATTACTATTACTGTTACTATTACTATTACTATTACTATTACTATTACTATTACTATTACTATTACTATTACTATTACTACTATTATTATTATATGATAATTACAACAACAACAACAACAATAATAATAATAATAAATCTCTGCTGTCAATACAAGATTGGTTAATCCAGGCTGTTCACACCTCTACATTAGAATGCTGATTGGATCATTTCATTTTTTCTGCTGTCCTTGTCTGGCCCACCCATTATTCACTTTTTTCTCACTTTCCCAAGCTTGCTGACAAACTTGCTGAGTGCTGCTGACTCTTCTTCCTCTTGCATCTTTTTCAAGGACACACCAACCCCATTTCTGAATATTTCCATTATTCATTGTTTATATCCATTGTCCACGCTGAATATGGCCATTGTCTCACAAGAACTCCTCAGCCTGCAAAAAAATCTCAACAATTTACCTCTCCTCTACCCCCAAAAATCCCTTTTCATGCTTTTACACAAAATGCTGCCACGGTTCTTTCATGAATTTTGCATCTCCTCCTGAAATTTCACAACTGTGGATCGCCGTGGTTCAATGGCACCCTGAGCCCCAGCAGCCCCAAACCTCAACACTG